AAGTACCAGAGACATCGCTACAAGCATAAAACATACAGACACCACAATGACTCTAAACCCATATCTTTCTATAATAACACTGAATGTAAATGGATTAAATGTGCCAACCAAAAGACATAGGGTATTAGAATGGATAAAAAAACAAGACCCATCTATTTGCTGTCTACAAGAGACTCATTTTAGACCTGAGGACACCTTCAGATTGAGAGTGAGGGGATGGAGAACTATTTATCATGCTACTGGAAGCCAAAAGAAAGCTGGAGTAGCCATACTTATATCAGACAAACTAGACTTTCAATTAAAGGCTGTAACAAGAGATGAAGAAGGGCATTATATACTAATCACAGGGTCTATCCATCAGGAAGAGCTAACAATTATAAATGTCTATGCGCCGAATACCGGAGCCCCCAAATATATAAAACAATTACTCATAAACATAAGCAACCTTATTGATAAGAATGTGGTAATTGCAGGGGACTTTAACACTCCACTTACAGAAATGGATAGATCATCTAGACACACGGTCAATAAAGAAACAAGGGCCCTGAATGACACATTGGATCAGATGGACTTGACAGATATATTTAGAACTCTGCATCCCAAAGCAACAGAATATACATTCTTCTCGAGTGCACATGGAACATTCTCCAAGACAGATCATATACTGGGTCACAAAACAGCCCTTCATAAGTATACAAGAATGAAATTATACCATGCACACTTTCAGACCACAATGCTATGAAGCTTGAAATTAACCACAGGAAAAAGTCTGGAAAACCCCCAAAAGCATGGAGGTTAAAGAACACCCTACTAAAGAATGAGTGGGCCAACCAGGCAATTAGAGAAGAAATTAAAAAATATATGGAAACAAGTGAAAATGAAAATACAACAATCCAAACGCTCTGGGATGCAGCGAAGGCAGTCCTGATAGGAAAATACATTGCAATCCAGGCCTATCTCAAGAAACAAGAAAAATCCCAAATACAAAATCTAACAGCACACCTAAAGGAAATAGAAGCAGAATAGCAAAGGCAGCCTAAACCCAGCAGAAGAGAAATAATAAAGATCAGAGCAGAAATAAACAATATAGAATCTAAAAAAATTGTAGAGCAGATCAACAAAACCAAGAGTTGGTTTTTTGAAAAAATAAACAAAATTGACAAACCTCTAGCCAGGCTTCTCAAAAAGAAAAGGGAGATGACCCAAATAGGTAAAATCATGAATGAAAATGGAATTATTACAACCAATCCCTCAGAGATACAAACAATTATCAGGGAATACTATGAAAAATTATATGCCAACAAATTGGACAACCTGGAAGAAATGGACAAATTCCTAAACACCCACACTCTTCCAAAAATCAGGAGGAAATAGAAAACTTGAACAGACCCATAACCAGCGAAGAAATTGAATCGGTTATCAAAAATCTCCCAACAAATAAGAGTCCAGGACCAGATGGCTTTCCAGGGGAGTTCTACCAGACGTTTAAAGCAGAGATAATACCTATCCTTCTCAAGCTATTCCAAGAAATAGAAAGGGAAGGAAAACTTCCAGACTCATTCTATGAAGCCAGTATTACTTTGATACCTAAACCAGACAGAGACCCAATAAAAAAAGAGAACTACAGACCAATATCCCTGATGAATATGGATGCAAAAATTCTCAATAAGATACTAGCAAATCGAATTCAACAGCATATAAAAAGAATTATTCACCATGATCAAGTGGGATTCATTCCTGGGATGCAGGGCTGGTTCAACATTCGCAAATCAATCAACATGATACATCACATTAACAAAAGAAAAGATAAGAACCATATGATCCTGTCAATCGATGCAGAAAAGGCCTTTGACAAAATCCAGCACCCTTTCTTAATAAAAACCCTTGAGAAAGTCGGGATAGAAGGAACATACTTAAACATCATAAAAGCCATTTATGAAAAGCCCACAGCTAACATCATCCTCAATGGGGAAAAACTGAGAGCTTTATCCCTGAGATCAGGAACACGACAGGGATGCCCACTCTCACCGCTGTTGTTTAACATAGTGTTGGAAGTTCTAGCATCAGCAATCAGACAACAAAAGGAATCAAAGGCATCAAAATTGGCAAAGATGAAGTCAAGCTTTCGCTCTTTGCAGATGACATGATATTATACATGGAAAATCCGACAGACTCCACCAAAAGTCTGCTACAACTGATACATGAATTCAGCAAAGTTGCAGGATACAAAATCAATGTACAGAAATCAGTTGCATTCTTATACACTAACATGAAGCAACAGAAAGACAAATAAAGAAACTGATCCCATTCACAATTGCACCAAGAAGCATAAAATACCTAGGAATAAATCTAACCAAAGATGTAAAGGATCTGTATGCTGAAAAGTATAGAAAGCTTATGAAGGTAATTGAAGAAGATATAAAGAAATGGAAAGACATTCCCTGCTCATGGATTGGAAGAATAAATATTGTCAAAATGTCAATACTACCCAAAGCTATCTACACATTCAATGCAATCCAAATCAAAATTGCACCAGCATTCTTCTCGAAACCAGAACAAGCAATTCTAAAATTCATATGGAACCACAAAAGGCCCCAAATAGCCAAAGTAATTTTGAAGAAGAAGACCAAAGCAGGAGGCATCACAATCCCAGACTTTAGCCTCTACTACAAAGCTGTAATCATCAAGACAGCATGGTGTTGGCACAAAAACAGACACATAGACCAATGGAATAAAATAGAAACCCCAGAACTAGACCCACAAACGTATGGCCAACTCATCTTTGACAAAGCAGGAAAGAACATCCAATGGAAAAAAGACAGTCTCTTTAACAAATGGTGCTGGGAGAACTGGACAGCAACATGCAGAAGGTTGAAACTAGACCACTTTCTCACACCATTCACAAAAATAAACTCAAAATGGATAAAGGACCTGAATGTGAGACAGGAAACCATCAAAACCCTAGAGGAGAAAGCAGGAAAAGACCTCTCTGACCTCAGCCGTAGCAATCTCTTACTCGACACATCCCTAAAGGCAAGGGAATTAAAAGCAAAAATGAACTCCTGGGACCTTATGAAGATAAAAAGCTTTTGCACAGCAAAGGAAACAACCAACAAAACTAAAAGGCAACCAACAGAATGGGACAAGATCTTTGCAAATGACATATCGGACAAAGGGCTAGTATCCAAAATCTATAAAGAGCTCACCAAACTCCACACCCGAAAAACAAATAACCCAGTGAAGAAATGGGCAGAAAACATGAACAGACACTTCTCTAAAGAAGACATCCGGATGGCCAACAGGCACATGAAAAGATGCTCAACGTCGCTCCTTATCAGGGAAATACAAATCAAAACCACACTCAGGTATCACCTCACGCCAGTCAGAGTGGCCAAAATGAACAAATCAGGAGACTATAGATGCTGGAGAGGATGTGGAGAAACGGGAACCCTCTTGCACTGTTGGTGGGAATGCAAACTGGTGCAGCCGCTCTGGAAAACAGTGTGGAGCTTCCTCAGAAAATTAAAAATAGACCTACCCTATGACCCAGCAATAGCACTGCTAGGAATTTACCCAAGGGATACAGGAGTACTGATGCATAGGGGCACTTGTACCCCAATGTTTATAGCAGCACTCTCAACAATAGCCAAATGATGGAAAGAGCCTGAATGTCCATCAACTGATGAATGGATAAAGAAATTGTGGTTTATATGCACAATGGAGTACTACATGGCAATGAGAAAGAACGAAATATGGCCCTTTGTAGCAATGTGGATGGAACTGGAGAGTGTGATGCTAAGTGAAATAAGTCATACAGAGAAAGACAGATACCATATGTTTTCACTCTTATGTGGATCCTGAGAAACTTAACAGAAACCCATGGGGGAGGGGAAGGAAAAAAAAAAAAAAGAGGTTAGAGTGGGAGAGAGCCAAAGCATAAGAGACTCTTAAAAACTGAGAACAAACTGAGGGTTGATAGGGAGTGGGAGGGAGGGGAGGGTAGGTGATGGGTATTGAGGAGGGCACCTTTTGGGATGAGCACTGGGTGTTGTATGGAAACCAATTTGACAATAAATTTCATATATTGAAAAAAAAAAGAAATATCCTCTAAATAGATGCTGATTTTAATTAATGTAACATGGTCTACACCTAGATATCCTTCACTTACAGAAAACTAATTCATCTCAAGAAGAGGAGATATCACTACATCTAAGAACCTGCCTGATTAGATCTTCCTTACGGAAAAGCTGTGATACCATGGCCATAGCTGAGATCCACCCTAAAATCTCTGATGGTAAAAACAAGAGACTAGTTACCACTGCACTAATTACTTCTAGTTATCACTAGTGGTCAAATATATTAGGGCAAATCCTTGGACTCACCTGGTTTCTTAAGAACACTCTAAATTAGAGTTCATACATCATTAATTTTGACATTCTGAATTGATCTGACTCGGACCTGTATCTTAATCCCAGTGGTGCTGAGGAACCCAAGAATGGATGTGGAAGCTACACAGGCTGACAGGCAAACCCCCGGGTCAGCTACTCATTAACAATGGAATCACGGGTCAAGTAATCAACCTCCCTGAACCACAGCTGCCAAAGTAATAAAAAGTAGGCTACAATAACACAGCTACTTTGCAAACCTATACTATGACTATATAATTTAACAGATGTTAAGCATATGATACAGTGTCTAGTCCAGGATAGAACACTCAACAAATGCTTTTTTCCCTCTGCATTCCCTTAGGCAACACATAATTTTCATCTCATTTCATTTATATTTTGAGAGAGAATACAGAGAGAATACAGAGAGAGAGAGAGAGAGAGAGAGAGAGAGAGAGAGAGAGAGAATATAACCCAACCAGGCTGTCAGCACAAAACCCGACATGGGGCTTGAACTCACAAACCTGAGCTGAAATCAAGAGTCAGACACTTAACCAACTGAGCCACCCAGGTGCCCCAACAAATGTCATTTTTAAAAATCCATAAAAATCCTACCTGGTTAAAGAGTCTTCCTCAGAATTCTTATCTTCTACTAAAGAAAAAAGTAAAATACATTTTAAATCAACATTAGAAAAAATATAGGAAATTAAAAGTGTACAGCTAATGATTTGTTAAAAAGTATTCCTTTGGGACCACACCTGGAAACCACACTACACTGAATGGTAATTATACTACTGGTAGGCTTAATGCACTAAGAAATCTTACTTTCTCTTCTATACTGACCAAAAGTAAGAACGGTTTTTATCAGAATCTGATACCTACAAGTGAACTGATGTTTACAGTGACCATACCTGACTGACCCCATGACACTGGAGGAAAATGGTATCGTTAGGAGAATGATTATCCTAAGCTGACAATGTCAAACTTAAACTAGCATGATTTTTCTGGACTTCCACTACTAGAGGAGTTAAAAGAGAGTATCTTTATTTTGCTGTAACATGGCAAAACTTCCCCAGCTCTTCAGCAGAGACTGTTCAATTTTAGGATGAAACACCCCCTCACAAAGTGTGGTCTATAGCTATTGCACTTTGCAGCATGGCAAAACCATAGCAAACAGACTCTCCCTGGCCTTATTTCCAATGGCAAGGTAAGTAAAGACTCGGGATTCCAGTTTTATAAAGTTCTAACCTCTTGAGACTGTCTCCTTCCATTGCTAGAGAGTCTATCTAAACCCACCGTATATCACAGAGGAGGACGATCCCAATGTTAGTGCTATGTAGTGGTTCATGATGTCATTTTTCTCAACCCTCCCCATTAGGTGACACACATCTAGAGAAATCATGCTTTTTTTCATGTAAGGCATATGTCATCAGATCCTCTACTGATGAGCAAAAAAACAAAACAAAGGGCAAAGAATATCTTGAATGCCTACATTCAATTACCAGGGAATTTTAATTTTCTAAACATTCAAACATATCCACTGTATGATTCTAACTATATGACACTCTGGAAAGAGCAAGACTATGGAGGTAAGGGTTGGGGTGAATGTAGGGATAAAGGGGCACAGCACAGAGGACTTTTAAGGCAGTGAAACTCTTTCACACAATACCACAAAGGTGGATTCACATCATTATATGTTTGTTAAAACTCATAGAATGTATAACACCAAGGCTGAACACTAATGCAAATTAGAGACTTTGCCTGAAAATGATGAGTTAGTGTCAATATAAAATGCACCACTGTTGTCAGGGTGCCTGGGTGGCTCAGTTGGTTAAGCGTCCAACTCTTGATCTGAGCTCAGGTTATGATCTCACAGTTCATGGGATCAAGTCCTGCATCAGGCTCTGTGCTGACAGCACAGGATTCTTTCTCCCCTCTTTCTCTGCCCCTTGGCTGCTCACACGCATGCATGCTCTCTCACTCAAAACTAAACAAAGGAACTGAAAAAAAAAATACTACTAAAAATGTACCACTGTCGTGCAAGATGTTGACAACAGGGGAGGCTAGGCGTGTAAGGGAGTGTGGTATGGTATATGGAGACTCTCTGTACTTTCTATTATATTTTGCTGTGAACTTAAAACTGCTGTAAAAAATAAGGCTTATTAAATGTAAAAAAAAAAAAAAAGGTATCCATTGAAGCTACTCTTACCATATATTAAAGCATGATACAGTCACCTTGAAAATTAAGATAGAGATCAAAGTAACACAATATGGGTACTGTCTCCCAAATTGAAGTATATGAAAATACATAAAGCAAAATACAAAAATACAAAAGTTATTTGTATACTTAGGCAAGAAAACAATTGATGAATATGATCAAATATCTTATAACTATAAACAGGGATTCAGCACTGTATGAATCAAACCTGGGTTATCCATATAATTAAGGATTTTATTCTAATTTTAAATCAAAAATCATTATGTTTATCATATCTAAGAATCACAATGAAAGCTTAATCACATAAAAAAAGATTATAATGACCTAATATTGCCCTAGTAACTTCTGTACAAATACCTACTTCATATGGATGATGAAATTGAAACCAGTACCATGTTATACCATCATATTACTTGAGATTAAAATAAAATTTTAAGACACCACCAAAAATTAAGTTAGGGCTATAATTCCTATGCAGAAAAGATTTCATCCAAGAGGCCAAAGATTGCTACCCTCAGAACATCCTACTTGAATGACTAGCCCTTGGTTGTTACCTGGGATCTTGGATTTAAGGAGGGTTCCCACCATTCCCTAGCAGGTTAAGAGTGGCTCACTGTGCCTAAATGTGGTACAATCTTAAGGCCGTATACTTGATTTCCTTCTGGAAACCTGGAATTTTGGTACATGCTAAGGAGAAGATGCCTATGTGATTAGCATTTGATGAAAACCTCGGGCACTGAGTATCCATAAGACTCCTACTGGCAGACAACATTTCACTTGTGCTGTCCTAATTTGATGCTGGAGGAATTAAGCACATCCTGCTAACTCCACAGAGAAAGGATTCCTGGAAGCCTGCGCTTGGTCTCCTCTGGACTTCACCCCATGCACCTTTTCTCTGTGCTGATTTACCTTTCTAGCCTGTCCCCATACCAAACTACAGGCATGGGTACAACTATATGCTGAGTTCTGTGAGCTCTTCTAGTGAATAATCAAATCTGGGTGTCGTTGGGGTGCCTCTAACACAACTGCGTTATACGAAATTTTTATTATTTAGGTTGATGTCTTATACATGGTTACAGTCAGAAGGTTATTTCACAGAATGCTTTTCCTGGAATCTCTTTTTCTTGGTACTTGCCTTGAAAATTCCTACATTCCTATATATCCATTTGAAGAAAGGTATAAAATGAATAGATGAAATAATGATGTCAGAAAGTGTGAAACAAGCAACAATCCTATTTTACTCAGGGGAAAAAAAAAAAAAGAGAATCCTGACGATTGCCACTATGTTCTACCGTATAAAAGTTCCTCTCAAATATGAAAAATCAGTTAATTTTCTCCAACTAACTAGGACTTAGTTCATTTTTCTGGCAGCTAGGAATCAAAGAAGTAACAGGGACTGTTCTAGAAAAAACATAACTATCAGACAGAGTATGAAAACATACTACTGATTATGGTTTTTTTGTTTCTTTTCCTTGATTTCTTAGAAAATTAAAGATATAGTTCACCTATTAAAGGCAGTTATTGCCAAAATAATCAAAAAGTCAAAATTACTGCATCCAAATTGTCAGATGAATTATCCACTCCACCCTGAAAAGAGGAGATTTGAGAATTAAAGATCAATAGGACCCATTTGGGGGAAGGCAAAGTGAGTTATCTTATATACAACTGGTTCAAAACTTGGTATTCCACAGGAGTACTGATGCATAGGGGCACTTGTACCCCAATGTTTATAGCAGCACTCTCAACAATAGCCAAATGATGGAAAGAGCCTAAATGTCCATCAACTGATGAATGGATAAAGAAATTGTGGTTTATATGCACAATGGAGTACTACATGGCAATGAGAAAGAATGAAATATGGCCCTTTGTAGCAACATGGATGGAACTGGAGAGTGTGATGCTAAGTGAAATAAGCCATACAGAGAAAGACAGATACCATATGGTTTCACTCTTATGTGGATCCTGAGAAACTTAACAGAAACCCATGGGGGAGGGGAAGGAAAAAAAAAAAAAAAAAGAGGTTAGAGTGGGAGAGAGCCAAAGCATAAAAGACTCTTAAAAACTGACAACAAACTGAGGGTTGATGGGGGGTGGGAGGGAGGGGAGGGTAGGTGATGGGTATTGAGGAGGGCACCTTTTGGGATGAGCACTGGGTGTTGTATGGAAACCAATTTGACAATAAATTTCATATATTAAAAAAGTAAAATAAAATAAAATAAATAAAAACTGATAGACTCAAAAAATAAATAAATAAACCAATGGATGCTTTGTTTAAAAAAAACAAACACTTGGTATTCCAATTGGCCATATATTCTTGTTAAGTCACAGCTTACCAATTTCTGAAAAATATATTAAAGCAGTTCGCATTAAAACTGTACCCAATAAAAATTTCTACCTGACAATCCAGAAAATGCTTTCAATCTTGACAGACCATCATCACTGACACTATCACTATCACTGTGTGTACAGGTAGAAAGTCGTTTCGCATAAGAAACTCATAAAATATGACACAAACTTTAGATTAGATAGCCCATTGCCTTAGAAGGAAATATACATATATGTTAAACATGCATATGGTAGAAATGTATTCTAATAGTAGATTCCAAGACAATCTTCCTTAGAGCTTTCTTTAGGGATGAAATTCAGAAAGGGAGACTAAAAGGAGAGATATCAGAAGAAGGCAAATCTTCTGATATCAGAAGAGACAGCACTAACAAAATACAGTCAGGTATTCAAACATAACAAAAAAGACACAAGCAAAAATAATCCCGTATTGACTTTTTACTGACATCACTAGAATTCCCAAACTAATGAGAACTAGTAGATTCAGCGCATCACCTGACATTTTCTCCTTGTTATGATATTAGTTTTCTGCAATAACATATTGACACGAGGTCAGTTTCTCCAATCTGCTGCTCTGGAAACTATTTCTGATCAAAACTTAAAACTATTAAAAATACAGCTGTATCATGATTCCATTCCAGACAGGGCCTGACAGTGGCTTCCAGCTGTTGCCGCCATATTTTTGTTTCAGTATTCATCCAGAAGAGTTCATCAAGGACTTGAGGAAAACCTCAACTACTCCCACAAGAAACAGGTAAGAACAACAACACTTTTCCTCACACTTGACTCCTAGGTTTTGACAATTATGGAAAATTGCTGGGCAAGTATACTCACCAGGCTAGATCATTTTCCCTTGACCCTGCCTGGGTAGGTGTTGCATTTACAAAAAGTTAGATAGGACCTTAGTTGATATGTTATTTTTCCATATTTGGCCACAGAAAGTACCAATCACATAAATAAAAGACCTTACAACTCAAAAATTGTTCTTTTGAAAAGATTACCACCAGAGAACTTTTAAAAGTTAAATCCAACTTTCTTTGTAGCAATTTGATAAAAATATTCCTCCTTGAAATTTTAAAAAATTTTTTCAACGTCACTTCCTCTAATTCCTCGCCTTTTTCCCTAGCACTCCTCAGTCTTCTTTACCAACTGCCATTCTTCCATCCATCCTCTCTAAATTGGTATTCCCAGGGCTTGTTCACTGGCCTTCTCATTCTACATGTTCTCCATCATGGACAAGCTCAATCTTTATCCAAGCTATGACTGTGCCTAACAATTCTAAGCAGATTATTTCAAATGTGCACCTCCAATCCTGAAGGTCTATCTCCAACTGGAAACTCCTATTATTCAATTATCCAATTACTGAGAATATCCTACATGGATATTCCATCAAATTCAACATATACAGAAAATTACTGGTCTTCCTCATTCCTGCTGCTCTCCTCTGTTCATCTGATAAAGTCCTACTCATTCTTCATGTCCAATTTAAATGCTAGCGCACAACCTGGAAACCTCTGAATCTTCTGATAGTTCTCTCTCACCCCCTAACTTTTTATATTCAAGAATCACAAATTCGTATTAACTATACTCTTTCTGTCTCTGCTTTATCTTTCCCCTGCCACTGCCCTAGTCAAACATGAGTTCTTAACTGATGATTTTCACAGGGGAAAAAAAAAAAGCCACCAAATATTACTGTTATTTCTTAAATGAATAAAAAAAATTTTAAGCAAAACAAATGAGAAAGACACAAAGCCCAGAAAAAAAAATTTTTTAATGGAATAAATTGAACCCCCTGATGTTTTCAACATAGACAGCTGAAAGTTTCATAATGGACTAATACCAGGCTAAGAAAACAAGAGCTTCCTTTGCCTCCCAGTCTCTTTATGTGGTTTCCTATAATCTATCCTCCATATGAGGGTTCAGCAAACTACAGCCACAGGCCAAATCCAACCTGCCATCTGGTTCTGTAAATAATGTTTTATTGGAGCATAGTCCCATGTCTTCACTTACATATTGCTATGGCTGCTTTCACACTACAAGGGCAGAGCTGAGAGACCACATCACCTAAAATATTCACTGGCTCTTTAGGAAAAAGGCTTGGTGATCTGTATTTTATGCCATAACCAGAGTGTCCTAACTCAAATCTAATCTTATTAGTCTTCTGCTTCAAATTCTCCAAAACCCCTGCATCAAATACTGCTGGCTCCCTCCCTAAGATCCATTCCATATTCTTCATTCTTGCTAGAGAATCACAACTTTATTTGGATATTTATTGTCTCAATACACAAAGAAGGTGGCCTCACCCTGGCTTCAAAGAGAAAGGATTATTCTAAGCTAATCACAGTACCTGATTTACCAGGGACCAGTTTAGGAATGAGTGTGTGATGTAACCTAGTCTTTAAAATGTTAGAGGAAGTCTACTGCAAGCCTCTTCCTAGTTAAAAGAAACACATAAAGAAAAGCAGTCCTTCCCTCCCACTGGATGTTGCCATGTGAGAATATGATACCTGGAGCTGTTGCTAATTAGCCACCCCGGAAAGGAGAAATAAAAATACCACCAACTCCAAAACTGAACAAGAGACGACTGGGATCCTGATGACATCACTGAACCATCAAAACATTTCTGGTTCCTACTGTTTTAGTCACTGTTAGAAGTCACCTATTATTTGCCGCTAAAAGCATTCTACCGAAGAAACTTCCCAAGGCCTATCAAGTAAGATCTACTCCTTTCTATAGCACTGACAAACTTCCATAAGCTTGTCTTACCTAGTTATTCACCTCATTCCCAACCATTCCCATAGCACACTTTTTATACTAGCAACACCCAACTGCTCAGAAATCCTGCAAAGTTCACTCATACACCCTTAGACTTTGCACTGCTGTGTACTCCACCAAACAGGTAATCGTGATAGATGCTACTCCTGCGAAACAATGTCATTCTGCCTCTTTACCTGGCAAACTTACTACTCACTCTGCACGCTTACCTTAGATTCTACCCAGTTTTTTTAAAACTCTAATCCCTCACTGTGAACTTACAGTAACTGGAACAAATGCCAATAAAAAATAACAATGATAATTATAAGCTCTATGAGACTCTGTCACCTAGTAAGCACTAAATAGACTAAATAATGAAATTGACAGTGATAATAACAAACTCCTGGAGTGTAGAGACTGTTTTTTGAGTGTTTGTATTCTACAACAACGGAAAACACTTAGAAGCTAAAAGGCACTTAATAGTTATTTGTTAACTGGACAAATGAAAATGAATAAAAATGTTTTCTTTGAAAACTATTTTTAAAAAAACCACAGAAATTTTTCTGTTTAAGAAACCACAGGGACAGCTCTATTCTATTATGACCACCTTAATGATCAAAACACTGTCTGTTCTATCTTTGCCTTTCCTATAACTTCCAAAACTAACCTACAGAAGTTCTTTGGTAACAGTCTACCAAGTTAAAGCTTTCTTCATACTTTTCAGATCACACAATGCACTAGGTGCCACATCTGGGAGCAACAGTAGCATTTTTGGTATTGTGAAACATTTTTGTGATTTTATTACATTTCTTGAGCCCAAGTTACCCTATTTCAATACTTACTAAGATAATCTTTTGAATAATGGCAACAGACTATAATAATAAAATGACAGCGTCATGACAATTATCCAACAAACTGACAAAAACATTGTTCTAATGAAGTCAACATATCTCACTCTGGATTTGTTGTTGTTTTTAAATGTTTATTTTGAGAGAGACAGAGCGTGCATGTACAGGGGAGGGGCAGAGAGAGAAGGAAAGGGAAAATCCCACGCAGGCTCTGAACTGTCAGCAAAGAGCCCAACAGAGAAGTCTGACACAGGATTCCAACTCACCAACTGTGAGATGATGACCTGAGCTGAAATCAAGAGTTGGACACTTAACCGACGCAGCCACCCAAGCGCCCCTCTCATTGTTTTGATTTGCGGAATGAAGTTGATAATGGTGAGACCTTGATGACACAAAATGTGAAATAACCTATGCTTCTCAACAAGGCATTGCTTTTCTTCTGTACTATTGGCAGCTATCTGTAAAAAACAATTTCACTGGCATTGTTGCACACTAGCTAAGTTTTGCAGTTCTTATTATTTGCCATTTGTTTACAGTACCAGAAAAGTACTGTAGAATTCCCAGTTTTAAAGAATGGTTCATTTTTTAAAGAGACAAATCACTAGGTAATAATATTTACTAAATACAATCCATTTGTAAACATTATATAAAACATCCATTTTTATAGCAAGTGCCATTTGTTACAATATGTTTATGGAGGAGACATAAAAGATACTAACTTAAAAATCTTTTCTCTTTGGGCACCTGGATGGCTCAGTTCGTTAAGCATCTGGCCTTGCCTCAGGTCATGATCTCACAGCTCATGAGCTCAAGCCCCACATTGGGCTCTCTGCTATCAGTGGTGGAACCTGCTTTGGATCCTCTGTCTACCTCCCTCTGCCTCCCTCCTGCTCACTCTCTCTCTTTCTCTCTCAAAATTAAATAAATATTTTTTAAAAATATGTTTTTCTTATTTACACAAAGATATCATATGGTATTTTAGGGGTCATGACTAAAATAATGAATTTCTTTTCAGATAATACAGCCTCATATTTTCAATTACCTATAGTTAACTTCTTAAATAATTCTGAACATTAGACTATAAAGAAAGAAATTAAGAAAGAAAACAATACACATGCAATTTACACACTGGTGTTTTTTTCTTCATTGTTCTTTCATTATCAAAACTTCCTAATTCTGACTTTACCTATGTTAGGACCAAGAGCAATTCACTATGTAAAGTCTTACCTGGATTGCTATTTTGCAAAGAATTTTTAAGCATGATTTCTTCTTTATGTCTGCAAATTATTTCGTAATTGCTATGTATAAAAAAGGGTGATAAATAATATTACTATTGTAATACTGATATGAAAAACATTTACCAAATATATCAAATTCTTAGAGTATTTCAAATAATATCAGAGCAACTACCAAAACTTGGAATTAACCCATGTACTTCAAATTTGTACGTTCTATACACTTTTCATTAAGTATGTACGTGAAGAAAAAACAGTAAGATGAACGAGTCATGAATTCAGGGCATTATAGCTTAGTAAATTACAATTAGATTGCCAGGGGCACCTGGGTGGTTAAGCATCCAACTTCAGCTCAGGTTATGATCTCACGGTTTATGGCTTTGAGCCCTGCATTGGGATCTGTGCTGATAGCTCAGAGTCTGGAGCCTGCTTCGGATTCTGTATCTCCTTCTCTCTCTGCAACCACCCCCAGCTCACACTCTGTCCCTCTCTATCAAAAGTAAATAAACCTTAAAAAAATAATAATAATAATAATAATAATTAGAATTAGCTTGCCATTATGGAAAGTGTTTTGACTCAGAAGTCCTAGCTCTATAACCAATAGCCCAATAGCTATTTGTTCTTGGATAAGCCACTTCTCTTTGGCTCAAAATCTTCCTCTATAAAACAAGTATCTTACTGCCTTATTTTACAAGGTTGATAAAAGGATTTAATAAGATATTACACCCAAAACATGCCCTCTCAGGCAAGGTGATTGATGCTCATTACTCTGGGAAGGGCAATATGAGACCTTCCATGACCTCAGAAAAGATGCTCCACAGTATTTAAAGCAGGGGTACAGGGACACCTGCTGCACAGGATTTAAAGTGGGGGTACAGGGGGTGCAGGGACTCAGTCAGTTGAGCATCCAGCTCTTGATCTCAACTTGGGTCTTGATCTCAGGGTCATGAGTTTGAGCCCCAATTCAAAAAAAAAAAAGGCAAGGGTACAGATCTTTAAAAAAAAAAAAAAAAAAGGCAGGGGTACAGATCTACTAACAAAGGAGAAAGGGAAGCCCGATCTCTTCCTGCAGCATTATTTGAACATCTCTGACAGCTTAGAATGGTCCCAACTAACATCTTCTGGCAAAAAAAAGAGAAACAAGATCCTCAGAGGGTAACTCATAATGCAAGTCTAGGCTAAGATATGGGTTCCACATAAGGTTTTTGAGTGTGTAGGGAAAGGGGTGTATGATTAAAGCCAGGAGGCCCAGCTGCCAGAACAGGGTGCTGGTGCTTTGGGATAGCTGCTGAGCATATGTGCTGCGTGTGCAGTGAACAAAAGAAACTTTGTAACTTTGAAATCTAAGTGTGGATCACCATGAAGACTGAAAACTCTGGATCAGCAAGGGAATCCTGGGAGCAAAGGTCAATCACGACCAGACTGCAGCACCAGTTTCAACAGCAATGCCGCAGCAACAGAATCAAAGGAAACGGTAGAATGATCAGGATGTTCTTTTTTCCCCTCCCTACGACTTGTGAAAGAGGACTGTCTCTTTGGTCTTAGGGTGCTCCTTTGGTTCTTGGAAAATTCAAGGGAGAGAGTACAGGAGATAGCTCTCAAAGGAAAGTACAGGGTTTTCCACACAACTGAACATTTCAAGACCCAAGTTACTAGTTAGAAAACACAGAGATGTAACATTATTTGTACCCCATGCATAGGGGTTATACTTGAAACGAAAGGGGTAAGGTTAGGATCCTTAAGGATAAAGGTCTCAAAAGTCCTGAGGTAAAGAATCCTGCACACATTTCTACTTCCAACTAGTCTAGTCCTTTGCTTGATTTCTGGCTAATGTTGTGGACTAACCAACTGCCATTCCAAAACTGCCTGACCAAACTACGAAATCCCATTTGTTATGTACGAAGTTAACAGTTAAATTCTCTTAAACCTCAGTTTAGTAATAACTAGTATTTTAATGCAAACACAGATTAAAACCCTTAATATAAGCATATTCAGCTGCAGTCCATGCATATACATCTTGAGGAAAGGGATCAATACCTTGCTGAAGAAGAAGCCTGACTACATTTGTTGATTCATAATTTACAGCAAGCATGAGGGCTGTTCTAAAATAACAGAGATAACTTCACTCTTAGGAATTTAGAGTTATTTAAACAACTAATTTCAATATACTTTATCAGGTTAATATCTTGCCTGTCTGTTCAGAATCAACCATTTACACGTTCAAGTGTTCATCTTTGTAAATTATCTCCAAGACTAAAATGAAGGGACAAAAGGGAGCTTCTTGTCCCACTTGGGTAATGTATTATAGAGTTGCTAATTTAAAGTCCTTTGATAAACAAGAAACTATGTGGAGGTCACTTATCTGAATAGGCAAAGATTTTAAAAAAGAATTCCCCATGTCTTCCTTAATCTGATACAGTGCACTTCAAAGCCATCTAGAGGTCAAGTAAGTATAAAAACTATCTGCGGGCTTAAAATGATAATATTTTAATGTGAATGCTAATAAAATAGGCATAATTATAGTTAACGATGCTGATAAGCATATGGTAGGCACTAAATTAAATGCTATGTATATAAAATATAATTTACGCACAACCACCCTTGAAGGATGTATTATTATCTTCCTTTTCATATCAGGAAACATATTTAGTGATGATACGTAACGCTCCCAAGGTCACAACACCTAGCAAGTAGGAAAGCTATGAATAAACCTAGTCTTGTGTGAATCTAAGGCACATCTCTTTCTTCTTTATCACCCACCTGTAACTTATCCTCATTAAAGGAAAAGTCTATTCAGTTAAAGCTACCTTTCATCTTTCTATGCATACCAATTAAAAGTAAAATAAAAAAATACATACTGGACATGAAAAAGGATAAAAACTGATGAGCCTATAGTATCCAGTAATAGTAATTAATCATCACTTAGAGACCATCTAACGACAACAGTATTCCTCAAAAAAAAAAAAAAAAAAAGGCAATTTAAAGCAAAGAGTGATCCAAAAGATAAAACAACTCCTATTTATGTTTAACATGCATCTTTTTTTTTTTTTTTTTTTTAACATTTATTTGCTTTTGAGAGACAGAGCACAAGCAGGGGAGAGGCAGAGAGAGACAGGGATACACAGAATCCAAAGCAGCTCCAGGTTCTGAGCTGTCAGCAGAGCCCAACATGGGGCTCAAACCCACGAACCATGAGATCATGACCTCAGCCAAAGTCACAGACTTCACCAACTGAGCCACCCAGGCACCACAATATACATCTCTGAAGGAAAAATATATATGAAGTAGAAGTTCTTTTTTTTTTAGTTTATTTATTACTTATTTTGAGAAAGAGAGAGAGTGCACTCGAGAGTGTGGGCGAGGGGCAGAGAGAGAAAGAGAGAGATGGAGAATCCTAAGCAGGCTCTACACTGTCAGCACAGAGCCTGATGTGGGGTTCGAACCCACGAACCATAAGATGATCACCTGAGCCAAAGTCAGATGCATAACCAATTGAGCCACCCAGGCACCTCTATGAAGTAGAAGTTTATAAAATACCATAAAAAGATTAAGAAGTCCAATATTGTGTCATAAAGTAAACTAACAGCTGAGAGTACACCCTTTATAAAATTAATATGAAATCCCTTTAGTTAACACAAAATCATGTGGAAAAAAAAAAAAAAAAAACATTGCAGGGGCAACTGGGTTAAGCATCAGACTCTTGATCTCAGCTTGGGTCTTAATCTCAGAGTCATGAGTTCAGGCCCAGTGTTGGACTCCATGCCGAGCATGGAACCTATTTAAAAATAAACACTGCAAATGACATTAGTCAACATTATCAAGGAATATGAATTCTGCTATACTCTATTCTTCATGTTGCCCAGTCAGAATAATTGCTTTCTGCCTAACTGGTGATGTGTTGACATTTTTCACTATATAATTATAAATTAATCTTTTTCTTCTTAAGTTAATCTTCCTGACTTGAATAATTATTACCACTCTAGAACAATACTAAGGTTTAAAAGAAAACTACTGCACCTTTTTAATTTATCAACTGCATGTATATTTGCTGCCTTTTCTATTAAAAATTCCACTATTTGCTGTTTGTTTTCATTTACAGCAACTAGAAGTGGTGTGAAGTTATCCTGTAAAAGAGCAAAAACAATTTATAATTTACAAAATTACATATTTCCATACCGAATTTTAAAACTTACAAAAGATCCTCTAAACTTAAACATATAATACAAAAAGTAAATACAAAATGGCCTCTTCCTTCCCACCCCTGTGCTTTCACCTGCTGCTGCTTCTCTTTAAAATAGCCCTCCTCCACTGGGGCACCTGGGTGGCTCAGTTGGTTAAGTGACCAACTGCGGCTCAGGTCATGATCTCATGGTTTGTGAGTTCGATCCCTGCATTGTGCTCTATACTGACAGTGCACAGCCTGGAGCCTGTTGCAGATTCTGTCTCCCTCTCTTTCTCTCTGCCCTCCCTCCCTTGCTCGCACTCTGTCTCTCCCTCTCTCTCAAAAAGAAACAAACATTAAAAAAAATGTTTTTAATAAAATAGCCCTCCTCCACCTTCTTCAACAGATTATATGCAGTCATGCCCCCAAACTCACTTCAAACCCTGACTGGTTCGAAGATTTTTGTTTGTATCACAGTACTTATCATGGCATACTGTAGTTATTGTTAGGCAAAATATAAATCAGAAATAAAAATATAATAGCTTATCAATAAAAATTCGAATACTGGTTTTTACAGATCATTTTTAGCAATGAAAGCTACTATATTATTTGCATTTTTAGGGATCAATGCTGAGGAGAAAGATAATATTGTCTGCAATAGGCATAATCTATTCAACTATTACCATGATTAATCGAATATGCTTTGCAAATATTCCAATAGGAATATGATTATTTACAGTACACATAAGGAAAAAGTGTTTTTTTGAAACCAACTTATGGGGCACCTGGGGGGCTCAGTCAGTTAAGAGTCCAACTTTTGTTCAGGTCATGATCTCATGATTTGTGAGTTCAAGCCCTGCACTGAGCTCTATGCTAACAGCTCAGCCTGGAGGATTCTGTCTGCCTTTCTCTCTGCCCCTCCCCCACTCATGCACGCGCTCTCTCTCCTTCATAAATAAATAAATAGAATACAAAAACAACTTCGAAAGTCTAACTTGGAAAATTCAATCCTATTCCTAAGACATTAACATAAAATACAAAATATATATTATAAATTAATATTGATTGTCTTAAAATCCTTGAAATCTTTATCAAAATATACCATAAAAAAGGGGCACCTAGGTAGCTCAGTCAGTTAAGAATCTGACTCTTGAGGGGCGCCTGGGTGGCGCAGTCGGTTAAGCGTCCGACTTCAGCCAGGTCACGATCTCGCGGCCCGTGAGTTCGAGCCCCGCGTCAGGCTCTGGGCTGATGGCTCAGAGCCTGGAGCCTGTTTCCGATTCTGTGTCTCCCTCTCTCTCTCTGCCCCTCCCCCGTTCATGCTCTGTCTCTCTCTGTCCCAAAAATAAATAAACGTTGAAAAAAGAAAATTTTTTAAAAATAAAAAAAAAAAGAATCTGACTCTTGATTTTGGCTCAGGTCATGGTCTCACAATTCATGAGTTCAAACCCAGTGCCTCCTAGGGATTCTCTCTCTCTTTCTCTTAATAAACTTTTAAAAAATTACCAAGGTTTCTTTGTGTCCAAAAAGAGATCTGATTAGCACAGTCTTCAAAATACATATATATATGTATATATGTGTGTATATATATATATATTTATATCATAAAACAGTAATTGCAAATGCAATGCTTATGGAGGCAAAGTAGGTGACTCGAGTAAGTGAAGAACCTGAGTAGGGACAGTAGCAAACTGGAGAGACACACACCTCATATAAAAAGGGCAGTCGCTGCAAAGCATACCAAACAGTAGTATGGGCTCAAAGTACCAGGTATGATCCTATAAGAAAAGTCTGAAATCCAGATTTCTGCACGAGTGTCATAATTTTAAATGTTGATTCAATCTATGGAGGAAACTGAATACATCCAGGGGCCAAATTTAGTCAATAGCCCACTTGTATTTTGGTTGTGCATAAAGCAAATATTTGTACATAAAACTTTCCTAAAGTATCAGTATGACATTTTACCAAAAACTTAGGCCCCAACATGTAATAAAAATTGCTATTAAGACTCGTAAGAGGGGCACCTGGGTGGCTCAGTCAGTTGAGCATCTGACGCTTGACTTCAGCTCAGGTCATGATCCCAGGGTTGTGAGACTGAGCTCCACATTGGCTTTGGCACTTAGCATGGACCCTGCTTAACATTCTCTCTCTCCCCCTCTGCCCCTCTCCCCCATTCACACTCTCTCTAAAATAATTACAACAAAAAGGCTCGTAACACCCATCTTAAGAATTTTTCCAATGCTTATTAAAACTGCAATCTATTTGTGTTTAATTCTCCCAGATTGTTAATAAAATAGACGAATTAGTTCACAAGAATGCTGAAACTAAATTATTAAAACAATTCCCAACTGTACTGTCACTAACTACATTTCAATGTTTAAAACTATCATTTTGATTATGCCAGGGCAATATGAATTTAACAGACATCATAAGATAGTCTGTCACATAGCTTCAACGAATAAAGAAGATTCAAGATTTTCTCCTACTGCAATCAGGAAAACTCTGCTTGTAATAACCATTTGGTAACATAATGAATAGGTAACAAAAGATATAAAATCCTTAAAGGGTCAGACTCTACTTATTAAAAGACTACCCATAACACTATGGGTGCCAGTGAATAACTGTTGGTTAGATGAAAAATTATTCCTTAAGTCAACAGCTATAGCCAATAATATTCACTTTAACTTCTCAGAGGTAGAGAAAGATGAAAGGCTAATGCTTTTGGAGAGAGTTGAAGGAAGTAGCATGTATCAAACTGCAGGTCTTCCAGAGATTTCTTAGGTTTTGACATCTGTCAATTTATATACTATACTTCTCCATTCAGTAGTTCTTTGGGGTTTTTTTAATTAAATTATTTATTTTGAGGAAGAGAGAGAGCATGAGCAACTGGGGGAGGGGCAGGGAAAGAGAGAATCTCACGCATCTCTGCACCATCAGTGCAGGGCCCAATGCAGGGCTCAAACCCATGAACCATGAGATCACAACCTGAGTGGAAGTCGGACACTTAACCAACTGAACCACCCAGGTACCCCTCCATTCAGTAGTTAGCTTTTTTTTTTTTCTTTTTTAAATGTCCACTTATTTTTGAGAGAGAAAGAGACAGAGCACGAGCAGGGGAGGGGCAGAAAGAGAGGGAGACACAGAATCTGAAGCAGGCTCCAGGCTCTGTCTAAGCTGTCAGCCCAGAGTCCAACACGGGGCTCAAACTTGTGAACCACGATATGATGACATGAGCCAAGTCAGGCGCTTAACCAACTGAGCCACCCACACGCCCCAATAGTTCTTAACCAACAGTTGTAGCACAATCTCAAAAAAAAAATTTTTCTAAATATCCATGTCTATGTATACATATTACTAGATTTACTCAAAAAGTTCAAGAGGAGAGTTTAGCCTTGTAACAAAATTTTTAACTTCCCCAGGGGACTGGGATTCACCACAATTCTAGCTGAGAGCTGGTGCAGCAGACAATTACATCAGTCTCATCTATGTGGCCAACTCCCTCTATCATTTGAAGATTTAGCCAAAAGAGTGACTTATCAAAACTGCATTTAATTTCCCTGAGCAGAGGTAGAACAGGGACTAAATGTAAAGTCAAAACGCAACTTGATTTCATTACTTATAAACTTCTTACTTCCCATCAAGATATTCTAGATTTCACAGCAGAGTTTAGACTATTATCTAAGTGGCTGTTTCTGCCAGAATAGAATTATATGACAGTTAATTATTTGTTCTTTCCTCTCCTTGCCCACTTAATCAACCACTGCCAATCTGATTTCCTCTGAGCCCTCCTACACTTGGTCTCTAGGCAGGTTTATAACTCACTCTTATCCTAAGTAACAATTATTACCCCCCAAAATTGAAGACTCCTTGCCTAAACATATAAACTGGAGGAAAAAAAAACAAAAACAATAAAACAAACAGCCTCTTCTTGTTATTTTCTCTCACTTGCCAAATTTCCAAATTGGCCCACATATTTCTGACTGCTCCCTCCTTTTCCCTTTTTCCTCTTAAGCCTTGGCCAATAAAAGATAAATCCCATTTTTATAAGTCACTTTTTTATCAAATAGGAACTTGTCAGCAGCAATATTTTTTATTGTAAAATGCATGTTTGAGTTTTAACACAAAGCCTAAGGCAAATTTTGCTTTCTATGTTATTTTTCAGTAATTAAAAAAAACAAAATTGGATGGGAAAAATATTTGAAAACAAAGTTTTACCTTAAATACGTTTGCTTTCATAAATATTTGCCATAAATACATAAAACAAAACTGTATTCTCTAATGCTTCTTTAGAAGTATGCTTATTTAAAGTGAAATCTTAGGGTGCCTAGGTGGCTCAGTTGGTAGAGTATCCAACTTCAGCTCAGATCTTAACCTCATAGGTCATGAGTTCGAGCCCTGCATTGGGCTCTGTGCAGACAGCTGGGAGCCTGGAGCCTGCTTCAGATTCTGTGTCTCCCTCTCTCTCTCTCTGCCCCTCCCCCCCTCATGCTCTGTCTCTGTCTGTCTGTCTCTTTCTCAAAAATAAATAAAAAATAAGAAAGAAAGAAAGAAAGAAAGAAAGAAAGAAAGAAAGAAAGAAAGAAAGAAAGAAAGAAAGGGAAATCTTAGATAATTAAGTTATTATTTCCAAATATTTTCATTCAGGGAATACTTGAACTTCCAAATACATAAAACTGACCCTACCCGTGTCAACCAAGGGTGTTCCTTTAGAGGCTTCAGCAGTGAAAGGCAATGCGTGTCGAAGAAAAGGCAGGTGGGCCAGCAAGCGTGGCCATCACACACTCCCCATGTACAGCTACGACCCTGCTGAGGAGCTACACAAGGTTGAGCAGGAGCTATTCTCTGAAGTGGGAGACCCCAACATGGTACATGGCTGGCAGAGTGGCTACCAACAAAAGTAGATGCCTTTGCTGGATGTCAAGACATGACCTGACCCCAATGCCCTCATCTTCAGAGCACCGGGGCCTGAAGTGCCCAGCACCTACAACCTGCTGCTTTCTCCTCCCGCTTGCACACATCCAAGCTCTCCCTGCTGGGTCTGGGTCTCCATTCCTCCTCCCACCTATCCCCAGCAGCACCCCTTGCCTAAGTCCCTGCATAGCACCCAGCCTCCATCATCACCTCACTCCCCTCTAGACCTTTAGTCCTTTATGGGCTCTGAGACTACCATCCACTTGTAGGCACTAATGGAAAGATTTTCTTTCTGGGGTGGAAGGGTGGCTGGGAGATACAACTTTGCCCTTTCTGTGGGCACTACCTTTTTCTTGCCCTCCCTGACTTGGCATTGGAGTTATTTCCATGATGACAGGGCCTGATGTATAGAATTCAGTGTGTGTGTGTGTGTGTGTGTGTGTGTGTGTATGAAATAAAACATTTTGTGGCTAAACTATTCATGTATATATATAAAATTTCAAATATTGTATAAATTAGATCTTTACCTTATTTATTGCTTCAGTATTCGCATTGTATAGCAGCAGCTTCTCTATTATGGATATATTATCACCAAAGGCAGCATAGTGGAGAGCAGTGTTGCCACTCAAATCCCTAATATTTGGATCGGCACCATTTTCCAACAGTATGTTTACACATTTCTCTTCCTGGCACTGTACGGCCTGTCAGTGATATGCCAAGAAACAGAGTGTAAATTCTGGGAATTTAAAGTAAGCATGCCACAGGTTTCACCAATTAGTTTTGTTTCAATGCAATAACTTCACTTTCATTCTAAGTAATGACATCAAATCCATCTCAGGCAGACATAGCTGCTACTACATACCTTCATGAGAGCTGTCCTGTTTTCATTATCACAGAGGTTAAGATGGCATTTCCTCTCTATTAGGAGGGTCACCACTTCTGGATGGCCATTGGCACAGGCCAAATGAAGAGCAGTCCTAAAAAAGTGAGAGGACTTTTTAGGAAATGATAGTGCACTCTCTCAAAACATGCAATTAATTCAGGAAATTGTAAACATTAAGTAGCATGTTATTCCTATGCCTCCAAAACAAAGATTCAGTTTTCCTCTGGAGAAAGTACAATATTTAGTAGTGATTACTCATTACACTAATAAAAGAGCAGCCTGTTTGAAGAGAGAGAGCATGACCTCGGGATTCAGCTCCACTTGGGTTTGCATCCTAGTTTAACTCTGTCACGCACTAGTTATTGCTTAGACTTATCCTCAATGTCCTCAACAAAAGGGGATAAAAATTGTAGTTGTCTCGGGTCACCTGGCTAGCTCAGTCTGAAGAGCATGTAACTCTTGATCTCAGGGTCATGAGTTTGAAGCCCCACAGTAGGTGTAGAGATTACTAAAAAAATGATAGTTATAAAATAAAATGAAATGAAATAAAATAAAGAGTAGTTATCTCACAAGACCTCGTTGTGATGCTTAAATGAGGATCTATGCAAGTATTTAGAACACTTCCTAGTACAAATAACATCTCAATAATTGTTGGATAATATGATTATAATTTTTACTATTACTACTGCTTTACATAGACAATACTTCAATTAGGTACCTTAATACAATTATACCTACTTTGCAGACATGTTTTAAGGATTAGCAAGAATACTGTTTCAATAATTATAAGATGCTCATTTTGTCACATTTAGTATCTCTGACATTGGAATGCAATTTATGACTCAAAATGTCTTACAACTACAACTGAAAAGACTTTAAAAAATTTTTTTATTGGGGGCACCTGGGTGGCTCAGTCGGTTAAGCATCCGACTTCAGCTCAGGTCATGATCTCGCAGTCCGTGAGTTTGAGCCCCACGTTGGGCTCTGTGCTGACAGTTCAGAGACTGGAGCCTGTTTCAAATTCTTTGTCTCCCTCTCTCTCTCTGACCCTATCCCATTCATGCTCTGTCTCTCTCTGTCTCAAAAATAAATAAGCATTAAAAAAAATTTTTTTTTATTGGTACATAAAATAGTGGGACATCGTAGAATCTTGCTGCCTTCCATTATGTGAAATGATGGTATATACAATAGGTCTATTGCAGTTCTAGCCATATGATTGGCATTTAAATAAATGTTAGTTCTTAAAAGCATTATAGGAAAAGAGGACTAAATTAACAAAAGAAAAACATTTTTAAGTACTTCTTACTTTTCTTCTCAAGAAAGTTTAAGCCAAAGGAAACTCAGGATTCCAATGACCAGGAACAAGGAACAGCTCATTTTATTAAATATTGAGGTCTATAGATTTATGAAAATCAAGTATTTCCAATGATCAATATTAGTGTTTAATACTATCATACATTTCAAAAGGGCAGGTAAAGGTTATCTTTTACAATTTCCTATCTTCAGAAACATTGAAAGGAAGGAGGAAAACTTCAATTGAGATCCTAATACGTGAATTTAAAATTTCTCATCTTAGGGATGCTTTGCCGGCTCAGTCAGTAGAGCATACGACCTTGATCTCAGAGTTGTAAATTTGAGCCCCATGATGGGTATAGAGATTACTTTACTTAAAAATAAAAACTGGTGCAGAGCCTGCTTTAGATGCTCTGTCCCTCCTCTCCCTTTCCCCCTCCCCCTGCTCATGCTCTCACCCTCAACAATAAATAACACTTAAAAAATAAAGTAAACAAGATAAATCTGGGGCACCTGGGTGGCTCAGTCTGTTACGTATGCAACTCTTGATTTGGGCTCAAGTCACGATCTCATATTCACTGGATCAAGCCCCGTGCTGAGACTCTTTGAAAAGTCTATTTGAAAAGTTCCTGCTTTCAGCACGGGGCCTGCTTGGGATTCTCTCTCTGCCCCTCCATCCCCCCACCTCCCACCCCACCCCTCTCAAAACATCAATAAACTTAAAAAAATAAAATCTTTAGAAAATAAATAAATAAAATGTCTCATCTTGCTCATACTGTGCAAAATGAAGTCTTTGAGAATGAAAGGATCTTGAGAATATGTCTGCTATATAATATACATGCAGGTTCTAGTTGATAAATAAATGGATGGAAAGTGGATAAATACAGTTGGGAGAGTTCAATATTTTTAAAGAAAAGGTATATAAAGTAAAACAATACTTCTGAAACAGCAATAATCATTTATATTTGCTATTTATCTTGTTCATAAGCACAAAACTAATATATTTTGTTTTTATGATTAATATCAATCATTTACCTATTATATGTAATAAAGCTACATATAACAGAAAATATATGTATATGTTTAATGTATGCATAATAAAATCTACAAATGCAAATAAAAATATTCCCTTTACTTCTGAAGAGGCCAAAAGTTGTCAGAATATACCAATCCTCAAAAAAATTTTAATTACCTTGGTTTTCTTAATTTACATCCAAAAATATTTTTTAACACAAAGTGAGAAATTATTTTCATGTATATAAGATTCATATTCTTGCTTTTCTCCAGGATTTCTTCAACGATAACAAACCTTTTTCATTGATAATAAACTTTTAATAGGACTTTTATACACCTTTTCCTGTAGAAAGCACAGATTTTCTTTAAAGGAAAAGAAAAATGCATGTAAATTCAAAGGCTCTGAAATAACAAATTTAATCATATTTTGTGCATTTCTGGGCTTAATATAAAACCAAAGTCTGCTTGTGTGTACATATGATCAAACTGATTTTTGTTCTCACTTAATGATCAACTAAAGCACAGCTCTGCATCTCTGTGTATATCTATTACCTATGCCACCTTCAATGATCACATATCCATCTTATGGATACAATGCCATACTTATAAAAGCCATTATGAGTTCTTAATACATTGCTATTTTATTTTTTTTTTTAATTTTTTTTTCAATATTTATTTATTTTTGGGACAGAGAGAGACAGAGCATGAACGGGGGAGGGGCAGAGAGAGGGAGACACAGAATCGGAAACAGGCTCCAGGCTCTGAGCCATCAGCCCAGAGCCCGACGCGGGGCTCGAACTCACGGACCGCGAGATCGTGACCTGGCTGAAGTCGGACGCTCAACCGACTGCGCCACCCAGGCGCCCCAATACATTGCTATTTTAAATAGTGCTGAGAAAAGCAAAATGTATGTCATTTATCTCTAGTAATTTCCTAAAGATATTTTAGTAGAAATAAAATTGATGGGTAAAAGGAATACATATTTTTTGTGGTACTTACACCAAATTGTATATTGGAAAGTCGAAAACAACTTAAACTTTAAGCGGCAGTATAAGCACCATCACTCTATTTTCACAAAGGTTGTAGATGGAAAACTGTACTTCATTCCCTTTTTAACTTAAATTTCTTTTTTTACCAGGGACGCTATATTTTCCTATGTCCACTGGTCTCGTGTAGATATGCAAAGAAGTACTTTATGCAATTTCAAATTACAGATTTTTTTTTTGTTTTGATTTCAAAGACTTCCCTGTAAAACGAAGATATATTTTTTTGTCTGATACAAATATGTTGTAAATATTTGCAAGTGCATGGTCTTTTATTTTAATAATATTATTTTCTGATCGAGGCTTTTAGTTTTTTATGTTGCTAAATCAATCTCCAGAATTCTTCATTTAAAAAAAAAAATTTTTTTTATATTTATTTATTTTGGGGAGACAGAGAGACAGTGTGCAAGCAAGGGAGGGGCAGAGAGAGAGAGGGAGACACAGAATCTGAGCTGTCAGCACAGAGCCTGAAGCGGGGCTCGAACCCACGAAGCACGGGATCATGACCTGGGCCAAAGTTGGACTGTTTAACCAGCCACCCAGGGGCCCCCAATTTCTTTTTTTCTTTTCCTGAGAGAGAGAGAGAGAGAGAGAGGCAAGACAGAATCCCAAGCATGCTCCACATTGACAGCAGGGAGCCCCTCGCAGGGCTTGAACCCAAGAACCCCTGAGATTATGACCTGAGTCGAAATCAAGAGTCATAGGTTTAACTGACTGAGCCACCCAGGCACCCCCAAAAGTCTTGCTTTTCAAGTCATTAGGATGGGTAAATAGGCATTTGTGGGGGCTTTTTCTGTTACTTTTCTTATTTTGCATATTAAAATGTTTTAATTTATATCCCACCTGGAACTTATTTTAGGGAGATAAAATTCTAACAAGTTTTCTCCAAATCAGCTGTTTCTCCACTATTTACGAATAATTCACCTTTTCCTACTAATATGAAATGTCACCAGCATCAAATTTTAAAGTCTTACATATATTTGAACGTTTGTCATTTTCTACTCTGGACTACTCCTTTATCTGTCTTTTCAGCTGTTCGTAAACGAATAATTTGTGGAAATTTCAGGTACATTTTGATATCTGGAAGGGCAAATCTACCTCCTATTATAAAAAAATAAGTTCTTATTTTAATTCCAGTTCGTTAACATAAAGTGTTATATCAGTTTCAGATGTACAAGACAGTGAGTCCAAAAATTTCCTTAATGACATCACAAGAAGAGCATGTGTAGCTCAAAATTCTTAAAACCATGATGCTTTCATTTGCTTTACCTAAAACTGACAAATACAGGAAGAGACTTTGAGAAAAAGGAGTCCTATTCAGAGCCATCTTCCACTTCAAAATGTCTTTCCAAGGTCCCTCAGTAAATAGCACACGTACATAAGTGTACACAGACATAAACTGGATACTGGATTTTATCCCAAGAATACTGGATTTTTAGCCCAGAAGTTGATTACAGGAATTATTTCTCCCATTATGCACTTTTCTATAACATTATGGCATATGACATATGACATAATGGAAAATGAGTCCATTAAAAACAACATGTTGTCAACACTTAATTTCGTGTGTATTACTATTGAAATTTGGGTAAATCACGTCAAACTTGAGAGTAAATTACGGGAATTACGGGAATTACGACTACGTGCCAAGGCAGCTGAAGATTTTGTTTTTGCCGCTCACACTGTCCGCCTGGGCGCTAGACCACGTTGGGTTTCCACCACCGAGGGGCAGCGGGACCTCAGGAGGGAAGAAAACCCAGCTCCCCCAGGGCTCCGATGCACAGGTAGAGCTAGACCAGGTGTGCGCTTCTCCCAGGTCGTTCCCGCCTCCTCCCTGCCAGCCTCCAAGTCCCTATTACCTGTTCATCTTGTCTCTATCATCCACGCCATTTTTCCCCAAGAACAGAATCTGCTGCACTTTCGCTACGTTGCCCACGCAGGCAGCCTTGTGGATCTTTCCGAGATCTCTGTCTCGGACGTGGTAACCCATCAGGAAGTTGTCAATCCTATTATTCTTCTGCCCAACAGAAGCGGAGCCCAAGGGCGACACGCCCTTCTTACTCCCGAACCCAAATATCCTCTTCATTGCTAAGCCTACGGGCTCCACAGAGACTTCACCTCACCATCAGCTTTTCACTACTTCCTGAGCCCAACACTAGCGCTACAGATAGGCCAAACACTCCTGGCCACAACACCCCAGCAGTGACGCTCCGCGGCTGTGTAGCTCTCACCTCACGGTAACCTTCAGGAAGCAATGCTGCTTAAAACAAGTGCGCTTGCGCACTTCGGAAATATGGAATCACTGCGCGTGCGCACAGAGGGCTAGCGGTCAAGGGTACCCAAAGCGCATGTGCGAGGCCCCAACCTCTCAAATCTCAGTGATTGCTTGAGAGCAGGGCTGGGTGCCTTCAGGTGGGAGTTAGCTGAGCGTTTCTGGGCATTTGCAAAAGTTAGGATCGCGGTGTGGAAAAGCAGCCCGTGTATACGACTGAGGCTAGAGTGACGCTGAACTTCGGGATGTTGACTGAAGACGTCGTCCCCCAGAAAACTTCCCTTCAAAAAGCTCTCTAAATCTCTTTATCCCTCAGTTTATTCTTCCGTATCCCTCTGGGCCCTAGCCGGTCTCCATAGAATTTAGCAGATGCAGCACCAGCAAACGTTTTCTTGGTCAGAGACTCTGGCAGCTAGTGACCTTAAATGCAAGTTGATGAGGCGGGGGGAAACAACGTATTCTCCAGATGAAATGAAACCGCATTTCTGCACGCCTCTGAATCCTCCCCTTGGGCCCAACCTTACGTTTACATTTTCTTTTATTTGTTGGTGTTAGTTCCCAATTAAATCTTTAATGAATCCAAGATTTATTTGGGAGCATGGTGTAACATTTAGGAATTTTTTTTTTAATGTTTATTTGCTTGTCCTAAATAAGACATCTTTTCTCACGTAGTTTAAAATGCCACCTGGGGCGCCTGGGTGGCGCAGTCGGTTAAGCGTCCGACTTCAGCCAGGTCACGATCTCGCGGTCCATGAGTTCGAGCCCCGCGTCAGGCTCTGGGCTGATGGCTCAGAGCCTGGAGCCTGTTTCCGATTCTGTGTCTCCCTCTCTCTCTGCCCCTTCCCCGTTCATGCTGTCTCTCTCTGTCCCAAAAATAAATAAACGTTGAAAAAAATTTAAAAAAAAATAAATAAATAAAAATAAAATGCCACTTGATCGTAGATTAAATTTTCAGGTATTGTTTTTTTTTTTTTTTTCCTGTTCCTGGGTTTTACGTTGTGTTCCATTGACTAGTCTGCTTATTGCATCAGTACACTACTATTTTAACTTCTGACAACAGCTAATACGAAACCAGCTACCCTAAACTCACCAGATTCCTATTACATTTGTTAATGATTTAAAGAATTAACCAAAGTAGGAGCCCCTGGCTGGCTCAGTAGAGCATGCAACTCTTGATCTTGGAGTTGTGAGTCCAAGCCCCACATTGGTCATAGACCTTGCTTAAAAAAAAAAAAAAAAGTATTAACCAAAATAAAAATTAACAGAAACCACTGTTTTGTTACAGAAACCACTGTGGTTTTGTGCATTTGCACAAAACACATGAGCAAAACTTGAAAATGTGGTGTCCATATTTTATAGCAAGACAAATGCATAGATATTAATTTAGGTACTTCTTCAGAGGAAGTTGAATGTCATTTTGTGTTTGTTGGTGGACTGATTTGACAAAAAGTTGGTTGTAATTAGCAACTCAGAAAGCAGGTGTCTGCATCTTCAGCAGAATTTGCCTCTGGAATGACTTACAGAGTTCTGGAGAGTTCTAGAGTCCCTGCCGAGAAGGTGGATAACAAGAGTGTATCTTCATTGGTGAAAGACCAGTGAAAGAGAAGTCATGAAAGTCTTTTCCTTTTGTGT